ACAGAACTCGATGGCTGCGTGTTTCAAGGTCTGACCACTGAATGCTGATGACTTTTTATTTGGTTACCCTAGTTCTGCTGGCRGATTGGATAGTGATGCTTATGAAGCTGTGAGTTATGGCAGACRTTTGAGGTCGGGTGTTGGCCTCTGTGCCCGCAGACTTCATACTGCCTGGATATGGAGTTTAATAAGGCTGTGTCTTGGCAGGAACCCAAGAGCTGATAAGAAGGTTTGGGCAAAGATCATTACATTGATATGATGCCCCTGTGTTTTACTCCGGCAGCCTGTGGTCATTTTTGCACTGGGTAGGAAAGCGCTCTCTGAAGCATGTTGGCTATGCTAAATACTCCCCATTTTCTTTGAGTAATGTTATTGATGTAATGATCCTTTTTTCTTAAATTCATGGCTAAAATATTGCGCAGAGAGTGAAGCACAATTGATAAATGCTAAGTTAGCAGTAGTTATTTATTAATGAGCTGTGATTGTGAGTTGAAATAATGCTGGGTAATGCATATAAATCAGTTTTATCATCTGACCTCGTTTTTATCCCTCATGTTATCTTCTAAAAGGTTTCTGTTTAACAGCTCTGTATCACAATTGGTGTTAATACATCAGCCTACTCCAGCTGCTTGATCTGTCCAGTTTTGGATGCATCCAGGGTGCCTTGCTGTGAGGTGGGTAAAACACTGCTCTGCAATAGTCTTCCTTGGTGGGAAGGCTCCCAGAACAACATCATTTAACTTTGGATATGGCTAGAACTGGCCGCCAGAGAGATACTCCAGGTTCTGTGTCCAGTTAAGCCAATCCTGGATGGGAAAACACTTTGCTTGTTACCAGCAGAGGCATCTGTGACTCAGCCTGCACAAAACCTGTGTGCTGGGGTATTGGCCAGCCTTCCTAAGCTGTTCACACAAATCTCTTTTTTAGGTCTTTAAAATCTAGTTGCCTTTTTCCATCAACTTACTTGTTTTTGTATTAGAGCTAAAATTTGGGAACTTTTTAAGGAAGTGTATGAGTACAAAATTCAATTCTGTGATTCTCCTTAAAAATGCATAGACACAGTGTATGTGAAAAGTGGGGGAAAAATCCCTTCCTGCAGATTGAGACTTTTTCCTTTGCTGTTGCTTTTAAACATTTGAACATGCTCTTTACATGATGCTTAAGCCTTCAAGTAAAACTTACGAGCCGCTTTAACCAAGTTGAGACCAAAAATGAGACCCAAACTGGGACAATAACAAAATGACACAAAGATTGACTGCACTGTACTTTCTGGCTAAAGWGAAAACTGCTGAAATATAAATCCTATATCCTGGGATTTCGCTGCCTGCTGGAACTAATCTCATTAACTTAAAACCACCTGAGGCTTAAGAGAGATATACACTGCCGTGGGAAATTATATTTATCTCATCCTAGAGGGAAATCCGTTCCCTCCCCCAGCTTACCTTACTTTTGACTTTGCTGTTCTTGAATTACCAGGTCACTTTTCCCCACGGGAAAGTCATCACGGCTCGCAGCAGCCGTCTTGCAGTATCTGAAGTTCACTGCTATGTGAATGCTCACTTCATTGTTGGAGGTTTTTTTTCTAATATTTTCTAAAGAAAACAGATTGGAAAAATAATAGTACCATATAATAGCAGTTTGTCTAATCATAACACCCCCCTCCCACTGCTTCCTCTGGAGTCACAGGCACAGATTATGGAATTAAAGATGGGAAGGGAAGCAATTTATTGGAAGTGTTAGGAGTTTATAGCCAGTGTAACCTAAATACTGAGTTTTCTTTAAGGAGCAGTTTTAGAAAAGGAAATTAAATGACTCTGCTAATTGGTGCTGGAGTCAGAAATCTCCAGTGCGAGGTGGTGATTTTAAATGCAGTGAAACAGCTGTGTAAGCTGTTCCATGCAGCTCCTTCCTGTGCTTTTTGGATTGAGCCTCTGTGCCGCATTTCTGTATTTGATGCCAAAGTCTGGCCAGTAGAAACGTTCCCATTGACCTGAAGGGACTTTGGGTGAAGCCTTATCTGATAGTCCTGTTGGACTTTGCAGAGGGGTGAGATGACCTTGTTCAAGTGTCTTTTAATGTTTGACCCATTTGTAGAGGGGAAAAAAAAAAATCAACTTTGGGCCACCCATTAACTGCTCACACCTTAAAGAATATTAAGGAAAATGTAGCATGAAAGGTGAACTTGCTCAAAAAGATGCTTAAAAACTAATGGTCTGATCTCTGAGCAGGTATGTTCAGCAGCAAAAGGGTTTCACCCTCAGCTCCCTCCTTCCGAAGGGAGATAGTCTGGAGCCTTATGGAGGGAAGCGATTTGCAACACTTTAAGTGCCCCATTCTGCTTTTTCCTGYTTTGTTTTTCAGCCAGCGAGCCTTTGTCTGGCGTGTTCCTCCAAGGACAACTCCAGTGATGTGGCCTAGGAATGTTGGGATAGCCAGGGAAGCAGAGGTACCTGTGGAAAGGAATGGGAGAAATGACCGCTTGTTAAAATGACTTGAGTTCTGTGGGATCTACTTCACCTCAGAGAAATGGCTTGTGAATTTGAGCAGCTTTTGTGTTAAAGTTCAATACTGATAGCCCTGATAGAAGCCGGCTGTTTAAAATACCCTGTGTTAATAGTATGCCTATGGGTATAGCAATAAAGAGCCACAACTCTAGAACAATTAAAGTWGTAAAGATTTGTAGTAGTAAAAAGTAGTTTTAAAAAAAAAAAAAAAGGAATATGATGAAACACATATGAGAAAATGAATATATGTCTAGGGAAGCGACCTGTGAACTTACCTGACCAATTGTAACTGGGCTAACTAGTGAGAATTTGGCCATGTTTTGTTCTTTACTGAACCAGTGAATAATAAAGCGATTGAGTCTTGCTAAGATGTAGTCTATGTTGGGCTATGCTAGCTGAACTCTGCCATACATTTATTTTCAGTCCAGTGCTGATAAGTGCTGCAGACTCTATTTAGTGATGTACAGGCAGTTAATTCTTAAAATAGCTAAGGAGCAGGAACCTGACACCTTGAATGATTTATGTGTTTTCTCTGTAAGCTTGTTTCTGTTTTGTAACCTTTAAAATGTGGGTTTTATGAGTGGTATCATTAAAATTTATATTCCCTCTAGTATGTGATGTTAGTCATTATTACTCTGCTGTGCCTCCAGATCACCTGTCTGGATTGTAAAACAACCTTCCTCTGAGAGGAGTTGTCATTTTTGCTTGCCAGGGTAAGTGTCCAYGGACTTCTTCATTCCTTGGTGGTGCCTCCACCCTGGAGCAGAGGTCAGAATGGGGTCTTCCCTGTGTCCCCTGCAAATGTGAGGGCTTGCTGGGAGTAACTGTCTTTCTAGGAATGAACTAGGAAAGGTCTCAAGTTTAGAGAATTGACATTTATTACAAGAAGCTGAAGTGTCCTTTATTTTGGGTTATAACTTGCATCCTGCCAGGTTCGCACTGTGGGTAAAGGCTTGAAGCTCATCTGCCATCGTGTTCACACGCGCAGYGGGTGACTGAGTGTCCCACAGGACTCTACCTCGCAGCTTATGTTGCCAGAGCTGCTAGCAGATTGCACAGGAGGGGAATTAATTTATCGATAATTTATCGCAGGACCCCGAAGCACGACTTGCAGTTCCACCTTGTGTCTGTGTGACATCTGGAATKCTGGAATCCTTTCCTTGAAGCACTGGCTGAGTAGTTCTGTCGTGGATGCCTTGGGGTGTTGTGTGTATGTGTTTTGTTTTTAAATGATGGGCAAAACAATCTAAACAGGGCCAGTGGCTGCCACAAGGTACTCTGTACTGACATCTAGTTCCATGGAAAAAAGGATGTGTGATTATAGCAGGGGAAATCAGCTTTTATCAGAGGGGAGAGGGGCTGGAATTTCTGGTAGAAAGCTTGAATACTGGAACTGAATGAATCGAATACGAAGTGGTATAGGCAGATCTTTTTTGTTAGCGTTTTGAACTGTGTTTAATTTTTGACTCTAAATTTGCCCTTATAGTCTGTATAAATATTATTAGTCTGTTCAAGATGAAGTGTGCAAAAGGACTGATTATGAATTTCCTTTATTTAAGACTGGTTTGTGTGCTTCTTGTTTCATTTGTGAGAGCTGTTCTCAGTGACCGCTGCCAAAGACCCGATTTTATAGAAAACTTTTTATATATGGAAAAAATGGCAAGTACCCCAGTGCACCGTATTGCTCTTCATTGCTAAAGATGATGGCTCAGTGCTGCTCTCCCTAGGAATACCTGCTTGTATCCGCATATTGTGTTGGAAGCGGAACACATGGCACGTGGGATGGCAGAAAAGCCAAACTGCCCCCTCACCTGCTGCAGTGGTGTTCGGATCTAGAGCTGCTCACATTGAAGCTGCGCCCAGTAGGTGCAGGCACACACATCACAGTTCCTCAGGTGGGAAAGGGTGCTCTGCGTGTGCTGCAAGCTTTCCTGATAGCAAATAAGGCCTGTTTCAAGAGCCTAGCCCCCTCTGCCCACCTCTGGGATGAGTCTTTGATTAGAGTAATTTAGAGTAAAATATTACTCTGTATTAGAAGCTTAATTTTGCTCTATAGGTTATATACTAATTAAAAAAAAATAAGTCTATAGAACTAGTTTGTTCTGCATTGGAATAGGGCTTCCATACGTAAGTATCAGCAAGGTGGTGAAGAAGGTAGGGAGGAGGGCTGTGATGCTGATTAGAGGAGGCTGAGTTGAGTTTTTCCTAGGGTTAACGCTTTCCAAATTGGATGATAGAAGATTGAAAGTGAAGGGCATCCTCCTTGTTGAGGGAGAGTGTTAGAGTGGTCCTAATGCGGAATCTCATTAAAGCAACTGTCAGGATTCCTCTATTTTACCATCACCTTCCCTATTCCGTAAGAGGCAACTGTCGTTTTGAGTGAGCGTGCTGCCAAAGAGGCATTTACAAATAAATGAAAAATGTCACAATTGATTTTGCTCCTTCTAGAGCGCTGCGTGTCAGCTTTGTCACAAACTTTGTTACTCTGTCTTTCAGATTTTCTGGCTGGACATTCAAAATAAGTTTGGATGATTCTGGGCTTCTTGCTGTTGACCCAGGGTAAGTCAGGATTATGGTTTTTTTATTAATGTTTTTGCTCCAGTTTAATATTGCTGTTTCAGCACTTGCAAAGGATGAAATATTAGAAGTAATTACCAATGACCTGATGGATGCATATCAGAGCTGTAGGATGCAATCCACAGTTCAGATGCTGTGAACATAAAGTGAACTATGAAATGAAACTTTTATGTAGCAGTATTTGTGCATTATGGTAATTACTTGAGAAATACTGCCTGCAACTGCCTGCAAATAGCATTCTATTTATATAAAATATACATAGCTATGTTTTTCCTTTGTTTCTGAAGAACTTAATATCTCCAAGTTGATAGTTTTCTCCTCAAATCTTATTTATAATTTCTCACTCACTTTGAGTATGTTATATAACTGTTAAAGTGTGTATTGTAGCTTGTAAATGTATCGAAAGGTAAGCTGTTTTTGTTATTTATTTACACATTTGCTAGCTGTGTAAGTGAACCTAATGGACATTATAAATAGAATTTTTTTAATGTGAAAATTTAGCAGGAGAACGCGGCTCTGTTGGACTTTCATTATAAGAAATATTTGAAATGGTTTAGATGCAGCGGAGCGTCTAAACTACTGTCACTTCTGATAAAATATAATGTCTAATTAGTTATTTTCTCCTTGCACTTCACTCTTGCAATAGCAATCAAAAGTGCATGAAGTCTTTTACCAGARCTGTTGCAGAGACGAACTTCCTTAACATGTATAGAATTGCCCGTGATTCCTTAAAGAAGAGTTGAAGGTTCTAAAAACAGACCTGGTGCTGYTCTGGAGTGCAGTCTTTATCCTTTTTGTTTTCTCTGATTTCCAGGGGTGATGTGYAGTTGTTTAAGTGTAGAGTGCATAAAGGGATAAGGAAAGAGTTTACCACCTCTCCGTAAATGTGAAAAGGTATATTCCTGTTGTAGGAAAATAGCTGTAGGCCTCTGTGTGGGGGTATCTCTGAAGAGATTCAGCAGATTCCCACACTTTCCAATCTGCCAAGYGTTACGTGTCCTGTATTACAGGACATGTTGTTTCTGTGCTTGTAGCATATTTTTAAATGTTATTGAAGCCCATCACTATTGCTAATAACAGATTTTTAAAGTCAGAAGAACTGATGAAAATCACATGGCTGTCATTCTGCCCTTCCTCCGCAAACTCTTAAAAAATCCAGCAAGGGATTGGACTCTTCAAGGGAAARCAAGAGCAGGTGAAGGTGTATCCCGCTCTTTGTGCAGATATATTTTCTATTGCTTGATCATTAGTGGTAATAAAATAACCTACTTAGCTTGATATTTTTAAACTAGAGATTTGTTTGCATTTATGTATGCGTCTCTCAGATGTTGCTTTTGTATTTGGAGGGTTTAGTCTTTACTTCAGATGGAAGATTATGGATGTTGGTCACATTTACAGCCAGCTTTTCCAGCTGCGATACACCTCTGGCTTCATTACATTTAAAACAAATTCCCCACTCTATTTTATTTACAATTATACAATTCTATATATAACATCTCTTCACTTCCCTGAGTTTTTAGTTTTTGTTCTTCTAACTAGAAATTAATACTTGGTGATGGAAACTACCAAAGAACACCCTTGAACTCTACTTTCAATAGACGCTGGTGTTAGTGCAGACYTTTTGGCAAAACTCTTCAGAGAGATCTAATAACTGTATTGCAGTAGGCTGCCTAACTTTGCCTTTGTTTGCATTAAAAGAATATCTAAGCCGTGAATCTAGAGCAGACACARATAGAAAATCAATTCTGGTAGAGTAAAAACAGGTGAGACTGTAGTTTTGTTGAATAAACTAGATAGTTTAAGGCTGATATGTATATAATTATTATTGTTACAGGAAAGAAAAAGGAAGGAGGCAAGCAGCAGAGATGAAAACACAAGGCTGGGATCATCAATCATAGACACTCACCCCCGGTCCCCCAACTCAGATTAATGTGGTGCATTTTCTGAGGGTTGTGTTCTAACTTCAGTGGGCAATTGCCTAAGATCTCAGTCCATCAAGTAGTAAGGGTGGAGTAGAGAAAAAAATGCTCCAACCAAAGCTTATTTGGCTCACTAATGAACATGCAAGTAGAGGTGAGCCTAGGAAAAGCCCAAGGGATGCACAAAGGCCGGTGCTCCCACAGGGACCCTTCCTGGCTCCTGCAGCAGAGAGATTAGTCTGAATTGGCAATAAAGACTTCCAGTAAGTTTATTTTCAGCCAGAAGCAGGGGAAGAGGGAACTGAACGAAGAGCTGTGTCTCTCTGTATTCACTTCTGTTTCAGTACTGTGAGTTAAAATGTAAAAGTTTCCATTCACCTGAATATTTTTCTGATAATTAGACTCTTCTTGTTGTGGCCACTACAAGAAATTTGTTTGGCTTCCGAATCCAGAATATTCTTGCACCCCCCCGGTATAAAAATGCTTATGTGTTTCTTTCCCTTTGAGATTAATAAAGCAGATGCCCGATTTTTTTGATTATGGGAGACATACCAGTTTTGTAATTCACTTAGATGAATCACAGACACTTCCCACTCCCCAAAGACATGACTTCATGGGCTAAGAAGGAAAAATAATTGTAAAAATAAATTAAAAAAGAGGAGGGATGTAATGGAGGAGAATATGGTCAAGYAGAGAAAGATTAGATTTGGAGGAGTTGGCATCATTGGTTTCTTTTGATTAAATTGTCACTATTTTGTATTTGGAATATACAAATAAAAATCTGAGGGTTGTTTCCCATGAAAATAAGGCAGCCTTTTTTTTTTTTTTTTTCTTTCTCTCATTATGGAACATTATTCCTCAAGTGTGCACATGATTCCTCTAACTTCAGCCAGGTCACGCATAGGATAAAGAAATGATTCCTTCCCTCTTCACATTGGAGCCTTGCTGCCAGTGACCTCTTTCTAATGCTTTTTAGCCTGCTGAATGCTGCTGCCTTTTGGGTAATGGATATTTTTATAACTGACTGCTATCCCCTGGACTTCTTTTTGCATAGATGTGTTATAAATAGCATTGCTTGAAGTGGTATAATAGAATTCATAGCAGCAAGGATGCATGAACAGAAGCTGCCCACAACAAAGTGCTAGCAAACAATTTGCAGTTATTCATGACTGTGGCTGAACGAGTTGGTTTTAGTTAATTTGCTGTTCAAACAGAACAAGGAGGTAAAATGCATCTTACTCATTTCCATTGTGGCACAGTGGTCAAGACTGAACCATTTAATTTTACTGGTCTGGACAGGGCAAAGGAAATTACTAATCACTTGGTTAGTTGATCATTCTGTCAYTCTTGCCTCTAGCTTTAATGCATTAACAATGGGTAGAGATTAAATACCAGAAAAAAAGACCTTTACTGAAAATAGTGACGTGATTTGCATGTAGTATGATCATTGATGCATAATATATGTGCAAGTGGAGGTAAGTGTCGATGACTATGCTTTGTGGAGTCATCATTTTAGAAAGAACATCTTGGAAATGGTTTTCTGGCTTAAAAGTGTTAGCAAGACCTAGTATACGTTAATTTTTATAACCCATCAGCTTGTAGTATTTATTCAAGCTACAAAAGATAATTCCTGTTAATTCCTTTTTAGTATTTACTAGAACAAAATGATTTGAAATTTCATTCAGAAGTGCTTCTACAGTATACAGGTCTGCATATAGATTTGAATCACAGTAAGAATAAATGAACTCCAGTTGAGTTAATGGTATTGGTTCTGTTTGATCAGCAAGTCCTTAGGCTCCTTTGGGAACTTCAACATGATTAAGATGGTTAAATAACATTATTATATAAATAAGTCCCCTCATTTTTTCCAAGCTTTAGGAACAAGTTATGCAAACCTGAGACAAATTTTGCAAGTGGTTTTATTCTCACGAGCTAACTGTCCAGGTACCACTGTTCATTCAGGGAGCTAGAACCACAAAGTGATGACCTATTTTTTGTCCAACCAAGTACCCGCACACCATTTTAAAACAACCGTGCAGCAGAAAAACAATATTGCAGTTAAAAAATCATATCTCTGCAAACAGTGCGGACAGTAASTAAGGTTTGAAGATTGAAGTGAAAGGTCTCAAGTTTCCCATGCACTGCTTAGGGACAACTTTTTGAATTGTGTAAAGCAGGATAAGTCAGAGAGCTGAGGCGTGGCAATTGTAGGTTTTGGGCAAGTTTCTCATCTAGACTTAAATATTTCTGTCGCCTTTGCCTTCTCCCAGGCTAAACAGAATCGCCTGCTGTCTTATAACAGTCTGCAGTGACAGTTGCTGACTGGCGTATGGATTTGCTGTGAGTTTATGCTGAGCGACATTTATTATAGGCTTTATTTTTGCTGTAGTTTTTATTAAGTATGACTCCTTCAGGAAAGTGTGTTCCTTGTACAGACAGTATGATCAACAAAATCAGTGATTTTAGTTAGTGTCAATCTATCATTGGCTGAAAGCATTACAAATTTAAGTATAGCTTTTTGAGCTTAATATATCCTGTCTGAAAGGTGGTTTTGTCGGTGTGTCAACTTACAACTTTTCTTTTAAAGCACAAGATGGCTCTTCACCATATTCCCCAAATATTCTCCACTTTATGAAGTGCTAGGTTGAATATAAATAAATACACTTAAAAAAAAAAAGAAACCCAACAACAAAAAAAAAGCAAGTAAATAATACCTTCCTTTGCTTTATAGGCTTCCTAAAACTTAGTTGATCCATTTTATTGTCTTTTCTTTCTCTTGTCACTTYGTCATTCATTCATTATTTCCCTTCTTCAACCCCTCTATGTGTGTAAGAGATCTGTCTAGTAAACACACTTTAAGATACAGATAGTAGAATGCCCTAAAAAGTGGTAAAAAGCAAGGGGCAGAGCTAAAGTGGCTAGCAGAGACGGATGAGAAAGCAGGGAATGTCCTTGGTATTTCAGTTTTGAAAGGTTAGGTGGTTCTGGTGTGTTGGTATGAATACATTTACAGCCAAAATGCAGGTGTCTTGTTTTATAGCTCTTCAGCAATTATATTACTTT